GCGGAGAGTGTGCGAGCCGAAGCATTGCCAGTCACGACTAACCGATTCATGATTTATTAGAGATTTAATTATCGAATGGCGAATTCGGAAATAATCGCTTTAGTACATTCGGCAGGCAACTATACAATAATAATATTAAAATAGTGGGCCAAATCGGCTGCCAGGCCACCGGGAATAGTCCCGGTTCTCCCGATGGCTAGTCCGCGCCTGATTTCCACAGACACGCAGAATGTGCAGGATTCATATATTGTCTTTTTGCGGCTTAATATTCACAGACACTAGTCCATATTGCGTTTTGATTCAAGTACACTGACCTACTTTTGATTTATTCGTCCAAAATGTGGCATATTCCGTCCGCGTTAGGCTATAGGACTTCCGTTTTTATGACTGGATTCTACGAACCAGTCTGTGTTTTCCGCATCGCGGAAATTATAGGGCCATATGTCTCAGAGTAGTCAGTGCAATTTGGGAAAGTAATCAATTAAATCTGTATGTGGATGTATGTAAATATTCAAATGTAATCCCCTTTGTAATCGTTAACATTTTCATAAGTAACTGTAATTTAATTACACATTTTTTCTTAGTAACTGTAACTGATTACAGATACATTTATTTTGTAATTAAATTACGTAACGCCGTCCGTTGTAACTAGTTACTCCCCAACACTGGTTATCACTAAGCAGACTATACAACTCTAATAAACATAAAATTGCATAGCACACACAAAAATAGGCTCATATTAAAATTATTTGTTCTTTCCCACAATTTATATGTAAAGCCTAACTTACTGGCCGCTGCTGTGTAACATCAGAGTAATTACATGATAAATCTAATATAAAGTGTAACACTTTCTTCACCAAAAAGTGCTGTTAGTCCTGTTACACATTTGTACTTTCATTACCAAAAAGTGTTGTTACCAATGTCCTGTTACACATTTGTACTTACACATACCATTCAGTGGGTTGTTACATATGTGTAGTTACACAAACATTAGAGCTGTAGATACTATGTACCAATGTGTACTTACACTGTGGTTACATACTATGTACACATCTAGTTACTATGTAAGTACACAGGTATTAGGGACACTTAATATAAAGTGGGACCCAGCATTTAGATATACCTTTTTCATTTTTGTTGTGCTAAATGTTCCTTGCACCATTGATGTTCAAAACATATTCAGTCATTCTGCTGATATTAATAATATTTTTGTATCTTCTTCATTAAAGGGCATCTGACCAGAATTTGTGCACTTGTGAACTGGACTACAGACTATAAGAGAGATAGAAGCAGCCAAAATCATCTCAGAAGATGTCATTGCTACAGAAACAAAGAGAAATCCTGAAAACCTTTGCTGCCTTCGGCTCTGTTACACTGAGCTTTTTGTTATTTGGATTTATGGTTGTGATGAATCATACCTTCACATGCCCGTGCAGATCTGATCAGAATACAACGCTAACAGTGTCCATCTTCATTGGACCTGCTTTTTTTGCCTTGGTTATAATGTTCCACATGTTAAGGCCTCTTAGATATGGATGGTTTCATTGCCCCAAAGGAGCATATGATGATAATCGGCAGAACTGGCCTAAAGCTCTCATATCTTGTCTGATTCCATCTGTAATGTGGATCTTCATGTTGTTACTTGATGGTGATTATGTTGCTTGTGCCATGACAGAATGGAAGGGAGTTTATGTTCCTAATTTTGATCAAAACAAGTCGTGGTGTAAACCTATCGAAGGATTGCGAAATGAGACAGAGTTACGAGATTTGACGCGCAAATATATTCATCAGTCTCAGGTAAATTGCATGAATTACATCTGATGTACAAAACACACAACATACATTCAACTATGTTTTTTTCTTTTTCTTTCAGTGTGCAGGTTATGTTGTGATCTCTATCTTCAGTGCCTTGTCACTTGCTGTTGTGGGTATTCATGACTGCTGCATTAGTGGAAAATGTGACCGCTGCCCAAGTCGGCTGTTGTTATTCTGTGGACGAATAGAGAGACACAGTGAAGAAAATGACCAAGGACAGGATGATGTAGAGCTCAGCCCCACCTCCACCATCAGTACACACCCACTTGTTGTTTTTTCAAAAAGAGAATAAACAGCTTAATTTTCTTAATTCTCTTTTTGCATGTATGCATGACTCTTCTCTTTATTATAGTAAGATGACAGCATGAAAAGCATGAAAACAATTATTTAACATTTCAACATTTAATTATCAAGACATAATTAAGTTACAGTTCACAAGTTTTTGTCACAATAACCCAACAAACTATAGCACTATAACCATATGTCAACCATGTTTAACATATATAAATATATAAGGAGCATAGAATATGTTTTAAGAAACAATACTGCACAAATAAAGAAAGTAGACTGATTTCTGTGGTTGTTATGATTTTGTGGCATCTTGTTGCTTATCTGTTTTGTGTTTGTGAATTTATTTGCTGCTGGCAGTAAATAAGAAATATATTTGAAATATATCTTTCTGCTTTAAATGCAGAATACATGGAGTCACCTACAACACTCCCCCCTCCCTTTTTTTGCCTGATAGTTCATGTAGAGTTTAAAAGTAAACTAATAATGCTTAATGCGATTTATTAAGACCAGCCATCGTGAAACTGATGGAAATGTCCAACAGGTGACTTTGTGAAAATGTAAGGGAAGCTTTGGTATTTTAATTATTCATACCTAAGTTATATTTTACAGTGTTTTCAAACAGCATTTCAGTAACCACAAAAGTTTACAAATAAACTAAAGTATAGTCTGAGTTATTTATTTAGTTATGTATTTATTTATTTTATGTATTTATTTTCCTGCGGAAACTAGCAGCTGTTCGAGCACTTTCAGTAACAGACGGTGCATCAACAAAGTATGTAAGTACATTGTTTATCACTTTATTAGCAGTTTAATTAAAAAAACATATTTTTAATATGACTATGTGTTTTTGTCATAAATGATTTATTCGGTTTTACATAGTTTTGTGTGTTTTTATGTAACCTTTGCATCTTTGTCAGAAGTCAGAAACACTTCATCTAATGTCTTCTAATTTGATGATATGAGTTTAAATTGAGTGTAAATATCTGCTGTATGCTGTCATGTACAATGATATGGGATAATGCTGTTTGTTTTCATTTTGTTGGACAAACACAATCTAATTTAGTTCTGATGAATTTCATTGAATTTAGTTCAATGGAGCGTGTCTGATTTACTCCCAATCTAAAAGAATGAAGTTTACTCCCGTTTGCATGCCATTGTTCTTTTTCAATGTTCCTTGTCTCATAGTTTATGATTAATGACCATGTAAATAGTTAATAATAACGATCCCAAATCCCTGTATATGAGATTTGCTGATACACATTGTTCTGTAAACAAATATATGATCTTAACTGTTTAAAAGGTCTCAGTCATTCATTCGGTCCGAAGTAAGCCTGTGAACTTCAAAGTGGCCAGTTTCTCATTGTTCATGAAAGATGGTGTTTCTTGAGTTGTTTTTGAACAATTCAGAAAAACCAGATGGAAAAACAGCTTCTTTTGGTGCTCTGCATTTTTGCTTTGCACTAATTGGACTGGAGAAGTTGATGGATCAGGAATTTTCCTGCCCATGTAACCCTGGGTTTAACATGGAGCTGATCAGCTTCATCTTTCTTGGACCTGCTCTTCTGGCTCTGACTATGATGATGTTCATCCAAAGACCTTGCAGACGTTCATCTTTTCATTGTGCTGGGCTCTTTTTATTTAGTCTGATTCCGCCTTCATTGTGGATGTTTCTGTTGCTGTTTGAGGGTGAATATGTTGCGCGTGGCATGGCACACTGGGAAGGAGATTACGTCTTGGATGAAGAGCTCCAGATTAAATGGTGCAAACCCACTGGAGTAAGGGACGGTAAAGTGAATGAAACAGAACTGCGAGAACTCGTCCGGTTTGCTTGTATTTTCTGGAAATGTATTAAATGTAGAACTTTTATACAAAACGATGTACACAGTTTACTGGTCCGTCTTCACTTTGGGTTGAAGTGTTTTTAATTACAAAATAAACTAGCTTGATATTGCACTGTGCAATCGTACAGGTTGCTGTTGAATAAGGGGACATGTAGGACATTTATTATTTAAATACATACAGATACACCTAATGTGATTTTGGACCAAGAACTATGAAATAAAATGTGTTTTCTTGTCATTTTCAATGCGTTTAGTTGTTATTGAAATGTACACTTATTTGCATACATAATGTAAGAACAATGGCTTATTCATGTTGCGTGTAGAATTATTTTCATTTTCTTCCTTGTTTAACAGGTTTGATCCACTATAATTTCCATTTCAGGAAAAACGGAGGACATTGCCTTACAACAGAAGGTGTGCAAAGCCTCATCAAAGTGACCGAATTACATTGGTGAAGATGTCGTTACCAGAACAATTTGCGAACAACCTGGAAAATCAGCTCAGAAAAACTCCAGGATTTGGCACGTTGCCATTTACCGTTGTATTAATCGGACTGGAATTGTTAATGGATCAGGGATTTTCGTGCCCATGTACCCCAGGCCTTAACGCAGTACTGATCAGCTTCATCTTTCTTGGACCTGCTCTTCTGGCTCTGACTATGATGATGTTCATCCAAAGACCTTGCAGACGTTCATCTTCTCATTGTGCTGGGCTCTTTTTATTTAGTCTGATTCCGCCTTCATTGTGGATGTTTCTGTTGCTGTTTGAAGGTGAATATGTTGCGTGTGGCATGGCACACTGGGAAGGAGATTACGTCTTGGATGAAGAGCTCCAGATAAAATGGTGCAAACCCACTGGAGTAGGGGACGGTAAAGTAAATGGAACAGAACTGCGAGAACTGACCGAAAAAAATATTTTTTACTCAAGAGTGAGTCTACTGTACATTTTTTACTTTTTTTTTTTTTTTACCATATTATCAACTATATATATTATTTTTCGGTAACACTTTATTTTAGGGTCTCTTAACTAGTTGCTTGTTAGCATGCATATTACTAGAATAGCCATTTATTAGTACTAATTAAGCACATATTAATGCCTTATTCTGCATGACCTTATTCTACAATCCTAATCCTACCCAAAACCTCAAATTAAAAACTACCTCAGCAACTATTAATTAGCAGCAAATTAGGAATTTATTGAGGGGAAAGTCGTAGTTAATAGTGAATAAGTGTTCCCTATTCTAAAGTGTTACCCTTTACTTAAAGCAGACAAAGAACACTTATAATAGTAAATAATTGTTCCCTATTCTAAAGTGTTAGCTATTTTCCTTACTTTTGTGTGTGTGTTTATTAGGTTTCAGCTTTAGTTCTGCTCACAGTCCTCACTGTTGTTGTCATTGCTGTTGTAAGCGTTTGGGATTGTAGAACAAGATGTTTGGAGCATCAGGAAAAGCGGGATAAACCAGCACAACTATCAGAGGCATCCATCTACGGTTCAGAGGTTGAACTACAGCGGCCCGTCTGAACTCATCAGGGTGATCTGCATACAAATGCACCTAGATTAAGACTGTTACAAGGAACAACTTGAATCATGGGTCATTTCTAGGGTGACGTCTACTGTTTTGACAAAACTATATGGATTTACTGCATTTGTACCTAATAAATTGTTTGCTAATGCATCTCTGTGGTTTGCTGTATTGTCTTGGTGTAACTATATATATATATATATATATATATATGTTCAATTAGAATTCTAGCTCTGTTAAGTAATATGTATGATAATAGTGTGGATGTGAAATATAATAAACAATTAAAAACAATGTAAACCCAAAGCTTGTATCTTAATGTTACTCACAAAGTAATGTCACTCACTCAAAAAAAAAGTGCTTTCTTAATGGTTTAAAATGCTGTTTAATATATTGAATTCTTTTAAATTTGGCTTAAAAATTTGAGACTTAAGAGCTATTTGTACCATATGCATGCAGTAAAGTGTAAAATGTAGGTGAAATGACAGTCATTGACAGCAATGACTGAAATGCATTTTTACTGGGGAAAGAAATAATAATAATAAACAAAAAAAAATCAATTTAACCTTCTCCTCTAGCATTTTAATTCATAAAGTAAACAAGTTTTAAAAGTGGAAAAATCATCAAAACTGTTAACCATTTCAAAGAAGTAACAAGCATCAAAAAATGCAAATGCATTTCAACTTTTTTCATAAGAACATGAATTCTTACACTGCCGTTTCAAGTGTACTATAATCCTCAAAATACACAGGGTGGTGATCGCTCCTGTTGTATTTAGACAGAAATCGGAAACCTGTTGTTGCGCAATGCGACATTTATACCTGTATATATATATATATATGTTCAATTAAAATTCTAGCTCTGTTAAGTAATATGTATGATAATAGTGTGGATGTGAAATATAATAAACAATTAAAAACAATGTAAACCCAAAGCTTGTATCTTAATGTTACTCACAAAGTAATGTCACTCACTCAAAAAAAAAGTGCTTTCTTAATGGTTTAAAATGCTGTTTAATATATTGAATTCTTTTAAATTTGGCTTAAAAATTTGAGACTTAAGAGCTATTTGTACCATATGCATGCAGTAAAGTGTAAAATGTAGGTGAAATGACAGTCATTGACAGCAATGACTGAAATGCATTTTTACTGGGGAAAGAAATAATAATAATAAACAAAAAAAAATCAATTTAACCTTCTCCTCTAGCATTTTAATTCATAAAGTAAACAAGTTTTAAAAGTGGAAAAATCATCAAAACTGTTAACCATTTCAAAGAAGTAACAAGCATCAAAAAATGCAAATGCATTTCAACTTTTTTCATAAGAACATGAATTCTTACACTGCCGTTTCAAGTGTACTATAATCCTCAAAATACACAGGGTGGTGATCGCTCCTGTTGTATTTAGACAGAAATCGGAAACCTGTTGTTGCGCAATGCGACATTTATACCTGTTTGCTTCTTCCCAGATTCTGGATGCACAAATCAGTATTAGTAATTGAGATTGACAGAATCGGCTGACCAATGGCAAGTACCGGAAGAGTGAAAGTGAAAATGTGAAAAAAAGGAAAAAGAACAAACGACACCTACCTGGATGTGACACTATCACCTGAACGAGTAAGTTTAAAACTTTTTTTACTCTGCTATTATATTACCTGTATTGAAGAAATTTTGAAAATGATTTTTATTCTTTTCATTGAAGAGGATCTAACTATTCTCTCTTGTGGAAGAAACTACAGACATTTCCACAAACTGTAAAAGAGGAACAGACAAAATTACTTGAGACAGAATTCCTACGGTTTTGAAGATGCAACTAAAAACTTTTTTTAAAGCAGCAGTTAAGCTGATTTCCAAAAAAATTGCCATCACCTCTGTTCCATTGAGCTTTATGTTATTGGGTTTGCA